AACTTGAAAAGATTCTAAAGTGATAAAAAATTAAATAATTTATAATAGTGAATTTAAATATAAAACAGTACTTGATTTTGACGATGAACCAACAAAATCCCAAGGGTATCATTTATTTTTAAAATGTTATTAAGATTTAATGTTATAATAAATTGCATTTATTTTTAGCGTATCTAACGTAATAGTTATCGACCTTATTGACCGCACTTCAAACATGAAACTGTTTTATGAATTTCAACTTGTGTATTGGTTGTTCTGGCACTCCAGGAGCAAGCTGTATCCATAGAGCTCAAATTATAATTAGTAGGGCTCGGATTTCAATGCTAAGTACATACTTTTGTTGGTTGATCTTATACAATGCGTTCCACGTAAGTACATAATTCATTTCATGTAACAAGTGTTTTGTATTTTTTGACGTTTATATACAAATGTGGTTTTTAATTTATTATTTTATTCCTAATACTTTAAAATTTAACTTTGTTAACAGAATTCATATACTATAAAGATTTTGAAAAATCCATTTGTTAACTGTAAGTCTAGTCACAAAGAAAAATGGACTGGATCACCGAACCAAAAAAGAAACTATATTGCACTTGTTCTATAGTAAGACATGATAGAACACTCATCGCRATTAGTACTTAATAGGTTTGAAAAACGAGTATGTAAACAGTGTTGTTTAAAGAAGCAGTTGCTCAGCATTTGACCAATTACAATGGATTATCTAACAAAGGTAAATATTAATCAACTAAAATTTAATAGTTCTTCTAGTCTTATTTCTTTATTAATTATAATAAACATGATGTTAAAAAGTTAATTTATTTTATTTTGTTCAGAAATGAAGATACTGGTTATATTTGTKGTTTGTGCAACATAGTATTTTCACGAAAAGTTGCATTGAGAAAATACCTCGAAGTGCATTAGATGACCAGTGTAAACTCTGAATAATCAGACAGAAAAGTTGAAGATGATGCTTTAAAACAGAAAGTGTAAATGAAAATAATGATGGATTTGCAGTGTTATTCAGGCCCATACTGGCTACCTTTAAGAGTTGGGAAAAAAATATATTTATAGGGCGCCAACTATATTTTCAGACATTACCTTCAAAATAAAAATGGGTTTCTATAATGTCTACCCTAGGGTGGCCCTTAAAAATAAATATTTAAATTATTTTTGTGGCACCCACCTGTTTTTTGTAAATGCTCAATTTAATATTAACTGCAAACTTTGAAATCAATTGTTCAGTTTTTAGCCGTGCCCCTGGGAACTTGAAGTTCAGTAGTTTTGTAATTTCTTACAAAAATCACTGACATTAGGTTATGTATTTTTTTTCAACCAAAGAACATAAAWTATTAATTGATATAAGTAGTGAAGTTTACCCTACATTTTATGACGATTTCAAAAATGTCACTTTTTCATTATAACATAATTTATTACTGGCAGTTACAATTTTAAGCAAAAAATAAGTAAAAACTTTTTTTTTTTAATGTTTCCTTTTTGCAGTCAGGAAATATTTTTCTGTAATCACTTACAACTTGTAACACAAACTGTTTTTGTTCCTCATTGGTGGTGAGTATTGAATTGTAGTCTTCAATCAATTTTATTCCCCTCTCKGCCRTATCATTGACAGTTTTCAGTTTAGAAACCATTTGCAATGCATTTTGAAAAGATAAGTTTTCACTCCAATCTGCTGGGTCATTTAAAAGAAATTCTGTATCCAAGTTAAATATTTTGAAAAAATCTAAAGTTTCACTTGAGAC